ATCAATTATTCAATAGCAATAAGGGTACGAAAACAGGAAAAATATCTATAATTTTATCAACTGTAATGTGTAAGAATTCTAGCTTTTTAGTCTACACTCATAAATTTTTACCCTTATTTCGAGTTTTTCAGGTTAAAAATTGTTTCGCCTACACCTAGCCCCTTGAAGAGCTTGCCATCATTATCATATCGGATTATCTTAACTTAAAAGCCAAAATATGCACAAAAAGTTCGAAGAACTAGTATATTAAGCAAGCAAATATTTTTACTGGGCATTATATAATTTTTGAAATGATTCAATCTTTTCAAATCTTCTAATTTTTGTCCCGAAAATCGTAATGAAGAGCTTTGAACGATCTAATATTATCTGGGGCGAGTGGGACTCGTGGGGACCCTGAATGAATTTTGAGTCCCCCTTTATAAAGTTTTAGCTATACGGGCGCCTTAAATCAAGACGACATTCAAGTCGTCCTGCATACTGTCATGTTTCGTGGGACACCCTGTATATCAGTGTTACAAAAGCAAAAAAGTACAATATGTATATTGTATGTAAAATGGCAAGGCAATTGAATCTCTTGCTTAAAAAACAGCAATTTATTACTGAAGTTTTTTAATCCCAATTTTAGATCGAACAACAAATTTTAAACATTTAAAATTAGGAATGCTCATTTGCATTACTTATTGAATGCATAAACTGTTTAAATGTCGTCTTTCTTTCAAAAGTTTGGTCACCCTGATTCATAAATTATAGAATTAGACGCGGTATTTTACATTGACGACTAATAACAATACGTCCAGAATTCGGTTGGTGTTTGTTGTTAGTTTACAAAAGACAAGTGTTTTCTCTATAATTTGGTCATTATCTGCGTCATATCATTTTTTTCAAAATTGTTGAACTAATAAAGGTTATATTCACTATCATGTCTTCATTTTGTTAACACATTAAATTATATTAAATTATATCAATCATATATATACAGTGCAGGGGGTTATTTGCGTCTGGGCTAACTTGACCACCCACATTAATTGTATATATATGAAAAAAAGATAAAAAAGATAATATAAATTCGGGGTCCGTCCTAGAGAACGATGTTTGGACCCCCAGCCCATCCTCCCTCCTATCAATTTTGTACATGACCACTTATTTTTCAGCAAAATTATTATGATTTTTTTAAATATTAATTTAGGGTTATTAGGTTAAGACAATTTTTGGGCCGAGCGATGCGTCTAGGACAGGCCAGGGGGCTGAGCTCAGCGGCTAGGACAGGCTAGGGAGCCGAGCTCAGCGGTTAGGACAGGCTAGGGGGCGGGCGCTGCGNGCGCCGGCTTAAATCTTGAAACATTTGATACAATCTTAAGTGGAACGGGGTCCAAAAACCGTTCTTTATAAAATTACCTAAGTTCGTATTGAAGAATTATTTAATTTTACTGATAAAAATCTTAATTCGCGAAACTATCTCTCCCCCCTTGTCCTGAAATTATCTCTTTAAATCGTGAAAATGGACGAAATACTTAAATTGTAAAAATTACATTAAAATTTCAGATCAATAGAAGTTTAAAAATGTCCGAGGAGTCAGAAGACGAAGATTCTAGTCTGAACCTCACTTCTTTCCTCTTCGGAAATATTAATAAGTAATAATTGGTGGTCTGGCAATAACGTCAAATGTCTGCTAAGTAAAGAAATTGGTCTGGCCATAACATCAAATGTCTGCTAAGTAAAGAAAGTGGTCTGGCCATAACGTTAAATGTCTGCTAAGTAAAGAAAGTGGTCTGGCCATAGCGTCAAATGTCTGCTAAGTAAAGAAAGTGGTCTGGCAATAACGTCAAATGTCTGCTAAGTAAAGAAAGTGGTCTGGCCATAACGTCAAATGTCTGCTAAGTAAAGAAAGTGGTCTGGCCATAACGTCAAATGTCTGCTAAGTAAAGAAATTGGTCTGGCCATAACGTCAAATGTCTGCTAAGTAAAGAAACTCCAATTTCGAAACAAAGGAAAACTATGGAAATCTGATAAAAAAAATCAAAGTCATAAATGTTTACAACCGAATAGAACCACGTTCATAGCAAATCATTGTAAACCGTAAACCCACATTCCCTAGAATTAGTCTTCATTTCAAGATGGTTTATGAGTTTCTTATGGCGTCCCTAAGAGTAATATAATCTATATTAGGGATGGTGAACTCTCTGATACAGAGACCTTTGAAGAAGACATTGTGAGGAAATTAAGAGGATTGGGATCCCTGTTACAGGATACGCAGATGCGTAGCATAATTCAGGTAGCTTGGAGCCTAGGGGGCTGTATTCTTCCAAGAAGTTGAATTGTTAGCCCCCCCCTTATTGTCCAGAATTGCCTTCCGTTTTTTTGGCTTTTTGTCGCAAACTAGCTATTTTGCCACAAAACCCTTTTTCTCCCTTTTTTCTTGAATTTTCTTCCATGGGCCGAATTCTTTCCCTACCCTTTAGGATGGGGGGGGGGGGGAAGTAAGAGTGAACTCGCCTGATGGAGCCTACTTATGACTTTTTTGTGCATACGACTTTTTTGCGTCATATGTTTGATTCTTTAGACATTTTTTCTAGCTGTCATTTAGCTGTGATTTCCTCGCCTAGCTAGCCTGGGAAATCGCAGCTAAATGATAGCTTGAGATTGTTTTACGAATAAGATAATAGCCTGTTCGCAGCTAAATGATAGCTTGAGATTGTTTTACGAATCAGATAATAGCCTGTTCGCAGCTAAATGATAGCTTGAGATTGTTTTACGAATAAGATAATAGCCTGTTTGCAGCTAAATGATAGCTTGAGATTGTTTTACGAATAAGATAATAGCCTGTTTGCAGCTAAATGATAGCTTGAGATTGTTTTACGAATCGGATAAAAGCCTGTTCGTCTAAATTTCTTTTATAGGGGAGAATTGTATTCCAAGCTTCTCTAAGTGGCATGATATCCCACCAGATAGATTTATTCTTAATTGATTTTCACAGGGTGTATTTTCTCGAAAAGGCATCCCGTTAATAATTTTTTCATTGGTGAATTTTTAAAAAATGATATTTAGAGAGACAGTTTAATTTTTGGGTTAAAAATATCAAGAAAAGAATGAAAATTTTGCACTTTGATGTCCACATTGTCACCCCTCCCCCTCTCCTAATACAAACCCCTAGTTTTTGAAACTTATTCTAAAAATCTGAAGTAAAGTAACATTTAATTAGGAGATTTAATCAGATTTATCTTGACCCTTTTAATATTTTTAGGAAGTAAAATCTGAAGCTAGTTTGCAACAAGTAGATGATCTAGAAGATGTTGATGAGAAGGTAATACAGTAAGCAGTGCTGAGAATCCGGATCCGTTGGATCCGCAACATTATGGCTTCCTGGATTCGGATCCGGATTCTAGGGTCAAAATATCAACAAAAAACTAAGAAAAAACTCAAACCCAAATCAGAAAGGCTAAAAAAGTGAGATTCTCAAAAATTTCTTAATCTATAAAGGTTCATAAAGTTTGTGCATTAAAATAAGCAAAAAAATAAAAAAAAATAATTTTAGAATTCTTCTTCTATTTAAAACCACAGTTTTTAAAGAAATGTTCTTGGCCCGGATCCTCATCCATTTTATTCAAAAGTTTGCCAAGAAATGTCAACTTTTTAATTTTTCCTGCAAATTTTCGATTTCCAAAATAACGATTATTATTTATTAAACCACGACAAAATCCGTGTCAATCACTCCACAATTTTGGAGACTTCAACAAAATTTTAAATAACCCTTTATTTAAAATAAAGAATAGTTCGACTCACACCAATTACATTAAAACCTCTTTGTAAGTAACAATGGAAAAGATATTGTCTTATTTCCATCTAAGTGCTATATAGTCGATTTTGATGGCTATTATATCGTTAGAACTGACGAGGGTCAACCCAGACCGAAATTTATTTTCAATAAATGTGGAACTAACATCTACTTTTTTTACTCTTCAGAGGTTTGGTCCATCATTATCACTGAACTTTAAAGCATAATTTAATTTTACAAGGAAACCACGTTTGAAAACAATCATTTTTACGTTATAAAAATTAGAAAATTTCATTCATCTTTTACGATGAAAGAATTAAAATAGTGCCGTTTCGAACCGTACGTGCCAAATTCAGATCACTTCTACAGTCTTATTTAAAGGGACTCTAAGCGAAATTTCAAGTGACCCTCCATTCAAAGTTGGTAATGCCCGATTTACAACGATACCCTTGAAAGCGTTGTCTGATCAAGTATGAATTAGATATCAATGTTTTGTTACTTTAAGCTGTTATTTTCATTTGTAGTTTCTCTCAAAAGTGATTTGTGCATTTCTCGCTTATATGAACCAATAAAAAAAAAACTTCGATAAACTTAAGCACACTTAACAACGGTTTCTTTAACATTTTTTATCAGATTAAGGTTTCAGGGGAACTGTTGTAAATCGGGCATTGCCATCTTCGCACACAAGATTTCTCGAATGTATCGGAGGCATTAATTGTGTTACTTCAGGCGGAGGATGCAGAAGATTTCTCGAATATATCGGAGGCAATCTCGGAGTCAGATGACGAGGAAGACGCAGAGGAAGAAAAGAAGGATGAGGTGAAAAAAAAACTCAAAAATAATGCCAGGGGTGTATATTTTCCTGAATAATCATCCCAATTTTTTCCCCCAAAAGATGGATATGTTTCGGGGGCGGATTCCGGAATTTGTCGAGAGGAGGCGGGGGGCTTTAAAAAAAATCTGGGGGGGGGGAGTTCGCACCAGTTTGGACCTGAAAACCCCCTAAAAACCATCGATTTCACTAGTTTTTAATCGTTCAGAGAAAAAACTTAAATAAAACTTTGAATATTTCAAAAGTAACTATTTTATGTTAAAGTTGGCTTATCCTAAACTTTTCAATATACTTTCCTCATCGTAATGTTTTACCACATCATAACCTTCATTTGTTTACCACATCATAACCTACATTTGTTTACCACATCATAACCTACATTTTACCACATAATAACCTACATTTTACCACATCATAACCTACATTTTACCACATCATAACCTACATTTTACCACATCATAACCTACATTTGTTTACCACGTCATAACCTACATTTGTTTACCACATCATAACCTACATTTTACCACATCAAAACCTACATTTATGCGTGGAAAAATCGAAACCTTATTCAGGGAGCTGGAAGCCAGCTTGATGGGCCCAAATCTCAAGATAATCTGGATTTCAATGACGAACCAATCCCATCGTCCGGGAGTAAGGAACCCGAAATGTTTACCAACGATTCTGCATTGATGCCTCCGCCTTGTCAGCCGGTAGAAAAACAGGCAGTAAAAACCAGTAATCAGGTAAAAGTCGTCTTCATAATCTTCAATTGTCTTTCTATTACTGAGATGACAATTCTTGGAATACAGATCAGGAGTGTATATTTTCAGAATTATATGACTTGTTATGATTGAGGGGGGGGGGGGGGGGGGAGGAATAAAAATTGAACATCTAAAGACAACTTTTTTATTTTTTTGATACTTCTTACCCAATAGTTTATGATTTCCTCCTAAAAATTTAATTTCTCATTTGCTCCGCACAAGCATATATCATCACTGGGGGCAAAAAAAGATTTTCAAAAGGGGGAAATGATTTTTCGAGAAAATATACACCCCTGATACTGATTTGATCTTGGTAGTGAACAGCAATTAACGAAATAAAATAAAAAAGATAGATATAATAAAGAAATGCATCAGAATATTGGGGGTTGGATATTTGATTTAAACTTGTTTTCTGATTTAGTTCAGTGCACCGCTTGCGGCAATGTTACCAGAGAAATATAAGACGGCGCATATAAAGGATTTCTACCCAGAATTCAGGAAACCAAACCAAATGACGACCATTTTCTAAGTACAGTGTTGTAATGGGGGTTTTTATTTATAAATTTGCGTATTTTCAAAAAATTCTTCGTTTCATCTTCCGATTGAATAAAATTTTTCTATATTTTTTCAAACTTACTTATACTGGGTTACGAATAAAGAATGAGACTGTAAAGACGACCTAAAACTCGTTAAAAATGACGATTCTGGGGTTAAACTAGTCGTCTGCCTTGATTATAATCTTTTTATGGCTTATTTAATGATTAGGCAAAAAAGATACAGGTTTACAGTTACATGAGAGGACAAATTCTGTACAATCGTCTCTGAAGTCTTATTGCATCCTGTGGGATAACCCTGTATCTGTAAAGATGATCTAATTGCGTAAGATTGTCTAAACTTTTATATTCTTATTATTCTATTTTTCAAGCAATTTAAAAATCTGAAATAATGTTGGTTTGTGTAGAGAGAATGCTGTTCTACGATTTTCAAAACTTTTCCCCATCAAGGATTCTCATAAACCTAGGTAAATATAACTGTATATTCAATAACCCACAGATGGAATTTAAAGAATTTGAGCCGCGGTTTAAATCCGCCAAAATCCGGTTTAAATTAAGCGCCGGCTTAAATCTTGAAACATTTGATACAATCTTAAGTGGAACCAACCATATTTAAACCGCGGCTTAAATTTAAACCGCCGCTCAAATTCTTTAAATTCGGCCACAGGTTTACCTAAGTTTAAATTTTAAGCATTTTAAGATTTACTATGATGTAAACAATGGCAAGGTAGGATTAAAGGGACTGTTAAGGAAAAATGAAAGGGGGTATAGGCTGAAACCTAAGCATTTTAGAAGTTGATCGAGAACCAAAAGAGTTCTACCTCTGTCTCGTAGAATTGATATAAACTGTGTCAAATTTTTACGAAAATTTATCATTGTCACGTGTCTCCGTCTGTATCACGTGACCAGTATACTGCACTTCCATTGGTGGGAGTTCTGGTCACGTGATATGGACGTATAAATTATATTAAGTTATATCTATTAAAAATGAGAAATTATTCAATTCAAGTTTTTCTGACTCCTTTGGGATATTGGCGTTTTCAGATTGGTTGCGTATTTGCTGAATATGATCTGTTTAAATCTGTTTTATTGATATAAACTTTTGTATAAATTTGAAAAAAATTATATCAAATTCTCGAGACAGAAACATCAGATAAAACTCTTATGGATCGTAATCAATAGCTAAAATACTTATACCCCCTCTAATTTTCCTTTACAGTCCCTTTAAATAAATATTTTTTACATAACTTTTTGCAAATTAATTAATTAATTTTAGAATTTGGAAGAGTTTAAAGAAAAGACGTATTAAAAGAGAGGAGAAGAGTGAAGAAGAACCTCCTAAGGTAGATATTTTTCGTTATACTAGTTAAGTACCCATAGTTACTCTCGTCTTCTACCCGCGCTTGGTCGTAAATTTCGATTTTAGCCACTTTTCTGTGTTAAAGTGGGCGCACTCAACTTAGAGATCCCTAACCCAAATTTTAGGCAAATCGGTCAAGGAGTGATTTATGATCGGAAATCATAACAAGCAGATATTGCAACTTTAAATACATAGATGATATTAATTTTGGACCGAAAAAACATACCATAATTTAAAAAATTGGTTTATGGACAGTGCTTAGGATCCATTTGATTTTGATTTGATTTTTGATTTGATCTTGCGGATCCTAAGCACTGTTTATGGATGACATTTTTATTTCGATTAAATTTGTCTGATAGGTATCTTTACAAAAAAGAAAAACCTTATTTCAAAATTATCAATTTTTTAAGATAAAATAATGGACATCTCATACCTTCTCAATCTGACAAAGCTAATAAAGTGTACCGCTGTGAATTGGAAATGGAAATTTAATCACATGATTCCCTTTCATATTTTGAAGGGGTGTATATTTTATCGAAATTTCCCCCATCTTGAAAAATTTAGTTTCTCCAGAAGTTAGGTATGTTTTTATGGAGCGCTAACATTTATTTTAGAGTTTTCTTCGCTGAATTTTGGAAATTAAATGTTTTATAGGTGGAAATAGATAAATTTTTGAACTTACCTTTTAACGTCAATTTTTTCCCCCAGTTTCAAGAACAATTGCCCCAACCCCCGCTTTGGGGGAGAGGGGGGGGGGTAATTCTTAAAAATTTAAACCCCTGATATATTGTTTGATTGTTTAAGAAAAGGAATCGAGGTTGGGTGTTGAATATAGCGCCTCCTCCGGAGGATCCGAATATGTACGAGGAGGACGACCAGGTCAAATTCAGGAAACCAATGCAGGTTAGCACATGTTGTTGTTGTTGTTGTACACATGTAGTTGTTGTTGTTCATATGTTGTTGTTGTTGTAGCCGTTTAACCTTTGATGTTGTTGTAGCCATTGAACCATAGTTTTTGTTGTAGAAATTGAACCATTGTTGTTGTTGTAGCCATTGGACAAGTGTTGTTGCTATTGTTGTAGTAATTCAACCATAGTTTTTGCTGTGGCCATTGAACAATTGTTGTTGTTGTAGCCATTCTTCCATAGCTTGTTGTTGTTGTAGCCATTGAACCATTGTTGTTGTTGTAGTAGCCATTTAACCATAGTTTGTTGTTATAGCCATTGAACAATTGTTGTTTTTGTTGTAGCTATTGAACCATAGTTTTTGCTGTGGCCATTGAACCATTGTTGTGGTTTTACCCATTTCACCGTTGAACCATTGTTCTTGTTGTAGCCATTGAATCATTGTTGTTGTTTTTGTAGCCATTGAACCATTGTTGTTGTTGTAGTAGCCATTTACCCATAGTTTGTTGTTGTAGCCATTGAACCATAGTTTTTGTTGTGGCCATTGAACCATTGTTATAGTTTTAGCCATTGAACCATAGTAGTATCTATGGACATGGCATTAAGTGAAGTTGTTTTTGGTCACCAACTGAATGGGGTGAGGTTGTCGTATATTTTCTCATGGACCCGTATACTGCATGGAACCTACTCAAATTATTACATCATCCTAGCCGAGTTGAGTGTTGGCAGGTTGTCATTTAACGTAATAGCCTCCGACAACCACTGTAATTTAATATTATTGGTCGGATTGATTGAAGGTTGTTAAACCTACTCCCCTGAGTCCCCCGAAGGAGGAAGATGTGAGCAAGAAAGGACCGAAGTCCACGGACTGGAGATGGGGACCAGCTCAGTATTGGTAATCCTTCTATCCATATCTTTATCTATATATATATGGATATATATATATCCATATGTATATTGGATATATATATATATATATGTATATACCATGTTGGGAACTTAGCGTTGCGTTACTTAAAATTACTCCCGCCGGCACTTGGCCGATTTTATCGGGAAACTAATTTTTCGCTTTGAATGTCGACCCACTCCATCTAGAATCTCAAAACCAATCAAACTTTGAGGCGAATCGGTCTAGAAGTTCCTGAGTTTTGATCAGACAAACAAACAGAGATCACAACTTTATAAATATCTATATACAAATTTATCTTGTCTGTCTGTTTGTTTGTAACTGATAAACTTCAAAACGGCTGAACTGATCGGGCCCAAGTTTTTTTGTGGTACCTCGCATGACCCCAGGGAATTGGTTTATGGATTACAAAAAATCGTGGCCATAAACTTTTTGATCTTCGTATTATTTTGAAAATTCATAAAAAAAATATTATAAAATCCGCGAACTTCTTTTTGTTATTGTTTTATATTGTACAAAGGGAAGATGGTCACAGATAGAAAAACAATTAGTACTAGGAGACGGGCGCTTTAAACGCCTAGTTTTTCAAATTCAGAATCCATTACTTATTTCGAGGGGGGTGGAGGGGGGGTATATTTAAGGTATAAGGATAAAGATCCTTTTTCTTCCTCCTTCTTTTTACCCTAAAAGATGCCATTTAATAATATTTACCTTTTCACTCCACAACTTTTTAAAATTCTTTTCCATGAAAAGCATTTATTTTCCCAATTCAGCAAACACATCCCTAAAAATACCAAATTTCTGCATTATGGGAAAACATAATTTTGGAAGGTGGGGGGGGGGGGGATTTTTTCTCAAGAAAATGACACACATGGGTTATATTTTAGTAGCAATTATAATCTCAATCTAAGGTATGATATGGTGGAACTACCAGAAGAAGTTGCCTCCTACGACTACGGTCTGAAAACTGCAGAGGAAGCTAAGGCAGAAGCAATAGGTGAACTTTTTTTTTGCGGTTAAACGGACAGAGCTGGGAACTATAGAATGGATAACCTTTAATCCCAACTACTTAATCCGAATATCCACTGTGGAAACTTTTTAGTCCTTAATCCACTCTTTTTCTCTCTCTTTGGATATTCGTACATTGTGTTTTTTCCAATGAGAGTGCAAGAATATAGTTCGTAAATTGTATTGACCAATGGCAGCCTTGAAAATAAATTCTGTCCCATGACAGAAATCCGCAATTTCTAACAAATAAAGAATTTGTTGTCGGCCATTTTGTAAATTTTTATCGGTGAAGAAAAATATTTAATATTACGTTTGAAATTCTTTTTTAACCAATTTTAACTAATGTATTGATAAATAAATGGGTGAGAAATCAAGTCAAGTAAACCAACAAATCTGGTGTTCCTAGAATCAAATTTGTTGATCTAAATATTTAATCTCGAGACTAGCATAATCTTGAGATTATATTAGTCTCGAGATTAGCAAAAAGAGATGATCAAGCATTAATCCTGATATCCACCATTCAAGTAATATCCCTTCTCCGATTTTAAGAGTTTTTATGTAGGAAAGAATAAAATTCTAGCAATTAAACCCGTATTTTGAGATAGAAAAACAAGGATCAATGCGAAGGCTTTACGAGTACCTTTGGGAATTTGGCATGCTCCTTTTTGATTTTTGGGTCGCTTAAAATTACGTCGAAAGTCCCTGCAGTCGATTTTTTCCATGAATAGTGAAAATCGATTGATTTCATTAAAGAGCCTGTAAGCTTGATTTCAAGTGACCCTCCATACAAAGATGGCAATGCCTGATTCATAACGGTACCCTTGAAACCCTTATTTGGTCATAAATGAGAAAGGTGCGGCCGTTTTTCTAATTCTAAAAGTGGGGTTTCCCCTGATTTTCTCCATTGCTGTATATAAACAAGAAATGCGCAAAAGTCACTTTCACTGAGAGACCGCAAATGAAAAATAAATAGTTTAAAGAAACAAAAATTTCATACTTGATCAGAAAAATATTTCAAGGGTACCGTTCTAAATCGGACAATGCCATCTTTGCAAGAAGGTTTACTCAAAATTAAGTTTATTCCCTTTAAGTTTCAATTTTTTAACGTTTAGAGAGTGAGAATGTAGTTAAAGAGGAACACCAAGAAGCTCCAGGAACTTCTCAAGGAACATTCAAATATTTTTTTTCCAAACTCTTAGGGAGATTTATTAACTAAGAGCCGTAATGTCCTCCGTTGCCCGTGAAATTTAGAAAAAAATTCAAAAACAAATTTCCATCTTGAATTTTTTTATATGTTCCCCCAGGATAGTCATGGGTGCCCTAAAAAATTCCGGCAATTTGGTCCAGCCGTTTAGTTGATATTTTGCTCCTTGTATCCGGAGCCGGGTAACGACATATTTTTGCGGAACGGATCCTAAGCACTGCACTGGTGCCCAGATTTGCTTGGAAATCTTAGTTTCTCCTACACGGTTCTATTCAGGCAAACCCCTTATGTATTTCTTATGTTTGAAGATAAAAATACTTTAATGATTGAAACACTAAACTTAAATCCTGACCCAATCATTTTTTCGCGAAATTGTCGCATATTTTTTTATCGCGAAATTGCGAATCATTTTTTACTTCTTTTTGCAAAATCGCGAAAGGAATGCGAAATTTTGCAAAAAGGTTAGCGAAATGCGAAAGAAAATTGTTGTGAAATTTAGCATTTTTTCGCATTTGTTTTCGCTGGAACCCTAGTTCTGGCATTGATCAATAATTATCGAAATATTTCTGCAAATATTTTGAAAAATTTGCTCCTTTTTTGTGAAAGTAAAGGTTTTCAGAGATATTCCTACAACAGTAAACTTTATTTCAAAAGTATTGGGTGAGGAGTATTTGAAGGTAAACTTAATGTTGAATGTGAAAGTAAAGGTTCAAGAGAAAGTACTGAAAGTAAACTTAATGTTGAATGTGAAAGTAAAGGTTCAAGAGAAAGTACAGAAAGTAAACTTAATGTTAAATGTGAAAGTAAAGACGCAAGAGAAAGTACTGAAAGTAAACTTAATGTTGAATGTGAAAGTAAAGGTTCAAGAGAAAGTACTGAAAGTAAACCAACTACAGTGGAAAATATAGAATTTCCAGCGGACGCCTTTCATATGGTTACTCAGGTACTGTTTTTTTTCTTTTCTCTTTCGTCTGAATTACTAAAAAGCAAATGTTAAACTTAGATAAAGTCTATACAAATCAATTTAAGAAACTCGCAATGCACACAATAAACTAAACTGTCGGTGCTGTACTGTAGTAATCTGCAGTACGGTGACCGAAGAAATAGCGAGTTTTAGTGGAGGGTGAATGAGATATTTGATTGATTGATCGACCAAATATTTCAGGTTTCGTGGGAAGAAGATATTATATGGAATGGGGAAGATATCAAACATAAGGTAAGTTAAGTCGTCATAATTACTGCAGTGCTTAGGATCCGGGTCCGCAAGATTTTGGCTTCCCGGATCCGGATCCGCTAAAATATGCGGATCCACGGATCCGGATCCAAGGGGTAAAATATCAACCAAAAACTGCAAAGTCTTAAAGAAATGACCTGGATTCGGATCCGGATTTGGATCCGGATCCATTTTTTTCCAATGTGGATCCAGGATCCGGATCCGCATCAAATCAAGTGGAGCCTAAGCACTGATAATTAGTGATGAGCGTCTTGCTGACCCCCCGTTTTTAAATATTCAACGTTTTTAGATTTAAGAGGCTCCATAAAAATCTGAGAAGTGAAATGCATCTCAAGTTTGCTCTGATTACATTATGCAATATCTTTATTCTGACTTATGATATATTTTACATTCGATTAGAAGAACGTTTTTCGTTTTGAAAAATTATTTTGATTAATATCTTTGATCAGAGAAAAAAATTCGCAAAATGTAATTAAAGCAGATTTATCGCGGAAACAATATTGCAATTTGAATAGTAACTCACATTTTTGGGGAGCAATTTTAACGTCAAACAACCTGTTAAACTTTGAAGAAATGGTTCATTTTTTCAAACATCCAATACCAACACTGGGCTTATATGATGAATACTAAAACGCCGTGAGGACATTTTTTTAAATATATGTGTATATAGTATCTAAATGTTTGCATATCTAATACAAGCTGAAGTGCCTGGCGTCGCCCGTGGAATTTAAGAAATTCAAATGAAAAAAAAATTATTTCGTTTTTTTTAGCCAATGTTATCCCCACGGGGTTCCTAAAAAATTCAGCCAATTTGGTCTATCCGTTCGTCCAGCTGTAGCTGGCATATATATGAGCGAAGAGCTTTATTATATAGACGAGCTGTACTGCCCGGCGTTGCCCATGGAAAAAATTTAGAATTCAAAAAAATAATTCTAAAAAATCAGAATTTTTAAAAAATCGATTTTTTAAACCTATGTTACCACTAAGATACATATGGGTTTCCTTAAAATAAAATCAGTCCATTTGGTCCCGACATTTGGCCAGCAATAGCCAACATATTAATATTTATATATGAATGAGTGAAGAGCTTTTTTATATAGAAGACTAGCTGAATTGCCCGGCGTTGCCGTGGAATTTTAAAAAATCGAAAAATTTAGATTTAAAAAAAATTAATTTGATTTTTTAGCCTTGGTTTATACTAAACAACAAGTTGTTCAAAGAATTGTAACTACTGAGGATCGTCATGATGTCGTGAAACATTATGTTTAGTATAATTCTTTTTTTAATAAAAAATGTGAAGTTAAAAACTGAAATATATAGAAATGTATGTATATATATGTATATATGAGCGAAGAGCTTTATTATATGGATGAAATTCATATAAATTTATCAATTTATTTAAGGTTTTGTCGAAGTTGAATGCTAAAGCTAATGCTGCTGGTTGGGTGCCGAGTAGTTTAAACAGAACAGCGGTCAGCTTCTCACAGCAGAGACCTGGGGTCAAACCTGAACTGCAGATTAGGCTGGCGACACTAGGTACACGATTTCAAATTTCATAAACAATCGACGTATATATCAATACAAGGAAGACGACTTTCGATTTAAATTTCTGATTTCTTCTCAGCTTTTAAACAGCATGGATACGTATACACATGGAAACAAAGAGAATCTGTCAATAAACAGCTTCTCTTTCTTTGTTCACTTGTAAACTTGTAATTTGAAATCAAAACTAAAACACATAAGTTGTCTTTATTGTATTGATATAAACGCCGACCACTGTAATTGTATAATGTTCTTAAAACTGCTTTTTATTCATTGTTCAGACAAATCATTTTTGTTTTCTGAAATAAATCGAATTCTTTGATGTCTGAAGGTCTTCGTTGAATCCCTTACAATTTCTTTAAACTGCAGGGCATTTGAATTTTTAAGTCTAAAATGTGTTGATGATCCAAAGTAGGTGTTAAAAGTTTCACATATTTTTGGAAAATTTATTTCGGTCCGGGTTGACTCTTTCCACATCTATCAATATCATAACCTTAAAAATCACTATTAAAGGGACAGTAAGCGTAATTTCAAGTAACCCTCCATGCAAAGAATGCAATGCATTAAAAATTGGGCGTTGACATCTTTGCATAGAGGGTCACTTGATGATACGCTAACTGTCGCTTTTAACAATATTAAAAAATCCAAAGAAAAAAAAAACATCTTTATAAACTTGTAGGGAAGAAACTGCCCGAGAGGGAAGATGACGCGTGGTACAGCATATTCCCTGTTGAGAATGAACAGCTTGTGTACGGAAGGTAAACTAAAAGACGGCAACGCCCGATTTACAACAATACCCTTAAATCCTGTGTGTGTTTGTTGAGTACAGAGATATGTGTGTGTAAACCTATCGAAACCCACTTGAATTCAGCTGTAAATTCCGTTGTGCGCTGCATACGGTGTAATGACTCAACACAGCGCACACAGGAATATGCAGCTGAATACAGTATTCTTGAAACCTCTTCGTTTAGGGGACAATTATTTAGATATATTCTTTTTTGAAAATTAACTCCATAAGAGCTCAGATTTGTAATTTTGACAATGTATAGTTAAATAAATTGAAATCTCGGGTTTATTTACTTAAATATGTTTTACTACAGTGTTCAGCGTTTATATCAGTAAAATAACAACAGTTAATTTCTAACAAGGTTTTTTCTAATCACAGGTTTACAGGTAAACAAATAGTTCAAGTTTCCATTTTTATGTGTATTCAATATCCATGCTGTTTGAAAGCTTAGTAGTTAGCAAAATTGAATGAAAATATACGAGGACAACCGTATTCAGATGGGAAGACGAGGTGATCTGGGATTCCACAAATATGCCAAGGAAACTGCATCCGAATATAGTTAGCCTGGATCCTAACGATGATAATATTATTATCGCGATACCAGACGATATAGATCCTGATACACTCCCAAACGAAGAACCTGCCAGGTATTCATATCACAGTTTTAGAACTTCAAGTTTAAGGATTTTAGAAGATATCAGGGGGAATTTAATTTTAAAATAAAAAATTTAACATCGAAAGAAAAGTTCTCATCCTTTTTGGCCAAAATTACTTTAAACTTCGCTTATTTTCCCCTAAAAATAATGTTTTTCAATAAAAAGATGCACCCAAAAACTAGGGAAATTGATTTACTGATGGGAGGATGATTTTTCAAGAAAATATACACCCTAAATGGATTTTTCTTAATTTTTTAATCCATTAATTGTAAATTTGTCACAAGTGTCTTGTTATGAAACCCTATTTAATTTAGTTTTTCTCATTTGAATTTAACTTTAATGATTTTCCTTCCTTAACCTAGAAAACAATTTATTAATATATAATTGAGAGTTTAATGTGTTTAAAAATGTTTTACGAATGTTTCTACAAATTTTCATATTTAATTTGTGGAGTTTATATTTAAAATTTTTTTTAGAAAAATAAAGATAATCCAAAAGCACGTGAAGAAGTCGAAACTGTTGCTGAACAGAGCTGGGATTATCTCTGTAGTGGAGGAGGAGAGTCCACCCCCTCCCCCTAAACATGATGATAGAGATCCTTTCTATATAGGTACAATAACATTCTAGCTTAAGTGCCAGGCGTTGCCTGTGGAATTACAGAAACACTTTAAAAAAATTCGAATTAAAATAAAATAATTTTTAAAAAATCAAATCTAATTTAGAAAAAAATCGGTACCTTAGCCCTTTTGCATATGACTGAAACTCCAGTCAATAATAATGATATTACATGATAATTAAAACCCCAGTCAATAATAATGATACTACATGATAATTAAAACCCCAGTCAATATTTATGATTTTTAATGATAATTAAAACCCTAGTCAATAATAATGATATTAAATGATAATTAAACCCCCATTTAATAATAATTATATTAAATGATAATTAAAACCCTAGTCAATAGTAATTATGATACATGATAATTAAAACCCCAGTCAATAATAATGATATTACATGAAATTAAAACCCCAGTCAATATTTCTGATTTTTAATGATAATTAAAACCCTAGTCAATAATAATGATATTAAATGAAAATTAAAACCCCAGTCAATATTAATGATATTAAATGATAATTAAAACCCTAGTCAATAGTAATGATATTACATGATAATTAAAACCCTGTCAATATTTATGATTTTTAATGATAATTAAAACCCTAGTCAATAATAATGATGATACATGATTATTAAAATTAATGACGTATCTTTGCTAGGGAATGATGAATTCTATCAAGCGAAGGAGCCCGCGTCTTTGATCAAAGTTGCAACAGGTAACATATTGACATTTTTTGCCTATTACATTTTAATTGTTACTCTGATATAATCCTAGACAAGTTCGTGCAATTAATTGACTGCTGAAATAGTTTGCATTCTCTTGACATTTTTGACAGTCCCTTTTACTTGATGGTTTTCATAAGACCGGTTACTTTATAATATTTATAGATAAATCCTATTGATAAAGAAAATATTGATTTTAGCTATTTTGCGCATTTTTTGTTTCGTTTTTTGTCGCTTTTTTTAATGACAAATAAATAATTTTTTTAAATAATACTAACACAAGGTTAAAACTTGTCATTCGATGGACAATCTTAATTTGTTCCAATTCTGAAACATATCATTTGTTGTTTAAAGGTGGACTACTGTTACAGCACGCTACCCCTAGCGTCCAGCTCACTGCGCCGTTTATACCAACCCACATGGGTCCTATCAAACTTAGACAGTTCCATAGGTTAGTACAGGGGGAGGGGAGGGACAGTTCTCATAGGGAAGGGGGGAGGGAATATGAAAAATTCCAATTTATGTATGTTATCAATACCTTAACTATCCAACGGGCCTATTTGCGCATTTTTCACATTTATCTTTCTTTAAAGTCTACAAGTATTACGAAAGGTTTCTCATTGGAATTTTTTATTTGGAAATAGCCACTTGAAAAACTGTCAGTTTTGAAAATATCTACATGAATAAAACTACTCACTGATCCTAACTTTGTTAGATGGCCTCTAAAGCGGTATTCTCATGGACCCCTCAGTCAATACCTGGCGTTCCATGGTGTGCAGAGTTTATACAAACACCAGCGAAAGATGGAGAAATGGCGGACAGCAGAGCGAGAGGAGGCGGGTGGCGGAGACATATTCTTGATGAGGGAGGCGAAGGATCTGTCGGGAAAAGACGGAGATATCATCCTGACCGAATATATTGAGGAGTTTATGCCGCTCATGGGATTTGTCGGGATGTCGAGTAAAATTAAGAATTATTACAAACGGAAACCAGAAAATGATAAAGGTAATTCCGCTTTCTTATTAATTACTGACTAGCTTGAGAACCCAGCTTTGTCTGGAAACTAAATTTTCTTTGTAAGAATCAACCTATTCAACTAAGAACGTTTAAACATAGCTAACAATAAACATAAAATAGTTCTTAGATGTACTCTTTTACCCCTGACTTTTTCAGGAGAGTACACATTCCTTGTCAGTTGTCAACCATTGTTTTAACTATTTAGTTTTTTATTTATGCTGGCATTCCCATTAACTTAACTGTCTTGCTTGTGTAAATTCTTATCGGATTCTGATATTGTTTCTGATGTTTAGGACCAAAATTTAATTGTCTTGCTTGTGTAAATTCTTATCGGATTCTGATATTGTTTCTGATGTTTAGGACCAAAAGAGTTAAAGTATGGTGAGCTGACCTACGCGCATACTTCACCATTCCTTGGTACCATGCACCCGGGGCAAACTATACAAGCACTGGAGAACAATATGTACCGCTGTCCCATCTACCAACATAAATTCCCTAAAACTGATTTTCTCATTATTAGAACAAGGAATATAATCACTTCTAAGATGTGTGTTTAAAGGGACTGTACGCGTAATTTCAAGTGAGCCTCCATGTACAGATGGGAATATAATGAATTACAACGGTAAACACTGATGAAAAAGGTGGAAGCTATGCCGTGGTTTTTCTGGCTCGGAAACTGTTCAGTTCTGATAATTTCTCCATTGCTTCTTTATAAGCAAAAATGCGCAATTCACTTTTGCCGAGAAACCGCTAATGAGATTAATCAGTGTAATGTAACAAAAACTTGCAAATATTGTTCATACTTGATCAGACAAAGCTTTTAAAGGTACTATTGTGAATCCGAGATTGCCTTCTTGTAATTACGCTTACATTCCCTTTAAACGAGTTGTGTTATTATGAATATATGAGAAGATTGTATAAAACTGAAGGAATGAGTTTTCTATCCGTGAAGTAAACGCTTTCTATGTGACCGGGCAAGAGTGTCCGCTGTATGAAGTACCAGGACCGAACTCTAAGCGGGCAAATAACTTCATCAGGGATTTCTTACAGGTGTGTCAAACCAAAATTTCTTTAGACTAGTGCTTGGAATCCAATTAATTTTGATGCGGATGCGGATCCGGATCCGCACTGGAAAAAAATTAAACTGGTCATGAAAATTACTTTTTAGATGCCATAACTTTATGAACCATTCATAGATAAGGTCATTTTTGATAATCTTTCTATTTTGTCCTTGGATCCTTGGATTCTAAGCACTGCTGTAAACTAATACCTTACAGATAGGGGTCGCTATTGGTTGCCTTGCCTGAATAGCTGTTTTTAGGCAGCATAGTTGGAATGAGACGGCCGGGGTTCGATGAGCCAGCCTAAATATATCTTATGTCTTTAAGTCTTTTGTTTGTACATAAAACTAGTTAAAAAATCTACTATTCGCTGTACAGTTATTGATTAACGTTTATTCAGGTTTTCATCTACCGCTTGTTTTGGAAATCCAGGGACTCTCCAAAGAGAATCAAAATGGACGATATCAAAAAAGCGTTCCCGGCCCACAGTGAATCATCAATCAGGAAACGGTTGAAGCCTTGTGCCGAGTTTCACAGAACAGGTCCTGATTCCAACTGGTGGGTTATGAAGCCTGGATTCCGTCTCCCTACAGAGGAGGAGATCAGGGAGATGGTGGACCCGGAGCAAACATGTGCTTTCTACAGTATGATTTCTGCAGAACAGAGACTTAAGGATGCAGGGTATGGAGACAAGTTTATTCTGGCGCAGGAGGATGATGAGAATGATAATATTGAAATGAAAATGGACGATGAAATAAAATGCGCCCCCTGGAACACGTCACGAGCTTATGTTCAGGCAATGAAGGGTAAATGCCTGCTACAACTGACCGGAGCAGCTGACCCTACTGGTCCTGCTAAAGAAGGATTCAGCTACGTCAAGATACCAAACAAACCAACAAATAAGGAGGAACAGGAAGCTCAACCAAAGCGTACGGTTACTGGAACTGACGCAGATTTGCGTAAACTTCCGTTAAAGGATGCTAAAGCTATTTTGCGTAAAAATGGGGTTCCAGAGGAAGAGATTAAGAAACTCTCTAGATGGGAGGTCATTGACGTTGTAAGAACCTTGAGCACGGAGAAGGTGAAAGCAGGAGAAGAAGGAGCAGACTCATTCAAGTTCTCTAGAGGAAACCGGTTTAGTATTGCTGAACACCAGGAGAGGTATAGAGAGGATTGTCAACGAATATTTGAGGTTCAAAACAAGGTTTTGGCCTCCGATGAGGTATTATCCTCTGACGAGGACGTGACGAGTAGTGAGGAGGAAGAAGAGGAGGACGACCTGGACGAGATGGGGAAGAATATTGAAAACATGCTGAGTAACAAGAAGACGAGCAAGCAATACATGACGGAGAGGGAGGAGATCGAGCGCAGGAAACTACAGAAGGTGATGATGGAGAACAGGTTGGAGGAGAAGAAGAAGAAGAAGGATGATGATGAGAGACCTGATGATGATCTTAGTCCAGGAGCATCACAGGTTCTCCGTATAACCAGAACCTTTAAGAATTCTCAGGGTAAAGAGTATACCAGGACGGAATTAGTCCGTAAATCTCTGGTGATAGAAACCTATGTTAAAGTCCGGAACACCAAGGACGATGCCTTCATTCGTCAGTTCGCAACCATGGACGATCAAGTTAAAGAGGAGATGAAGAAAGAGAAAAGAAGATTACAGGAACAACTAAGGCGCGTGAAGAGGAACCAGGAAAGAGAGAAACAGGGTCTCAATAAGTCGGCCAGTAGCAGGAAAGAGAAAATTAAACCTGACTTGAAGCTGAAGTGCGGAGCCTGCGGTCAGACCGGTCATATGAGAACTAATAAAACATGTCCCAAGTTCACTGGGGAGGAAGGGTTCTCGATGGATGGAGATAATGATGAGAGCAGAGATAGAAGAATGATGGATGAGAGTTTACTAGGATCAGAGGATCTTGTCACCTCAGAGGGAACAAAGATCAAGATCAGTGAAAAGGTGACAACGTGCTTCTGTTGTTGTTGATAATGTTTTTAATTGCTTTTGCTTCGGTTTTGGTCCGTTTTTTGCATGTATGTTCTCCCAGGGTTCAAATTTGGCACAGTTTAAGAAAAGAAAATGCCTCGTTCATCCTAAAGATTTGATTTTCTTTTAATAGAACACTATCATGTGAAAACGATCGTTTTTGCTACGTTTTTTTTTTCATTATTTTGTTTTGATAAAAATATTGCAATTTTTAATAAAAGCAAACTTCATGAGAATACACTACAGTTTTGGAATGTTGGAAGTTATATTAAAACTGAAACTATTAGCAACAATATCTATAAGAACAGATGAGGGGTTCACAATTTTCTTTAAAAATGTATTTAGCCAAACATAGTCTTAAGAATTTTCATTAGAGTTACCATACATATTCTTACATTACTCTTACAAAGTATTAAGAAGCCGCAATAAATTGCATAGTCCATTTTCTGTAGATAAAACCAAAGCTATTGTTTGTTCAAGATTAAAGCTATTTTACTCCTAGGTTATGAAAGCTGCAGAGGAAATCAGACGCAGGGATCTTCAACTCAAATTGCCCAGAGATGTACACAAGGTATGGATTGGTAGGATTGAGTGATTTTTGGATTAATGCTTCTTCGAGTCCTTTGAATCCTCAAATCGTTATATCCTTCAAGTCCTTTGAATCCTTTAATCTTTGAATCCTCAAATTTTTTTATATTCAAATCTTTGAATCCTCAAATCTTTGGATCCTCAAATCTTTGAATCCTCAAATCTTCGAATTCTTCGAATCCTCAAATCTTTGAATTCTGAAATCTTGGATTTATTCGAATCCTTAAATTTTGATTCCTCAAATCTTGGAATTCTTAGAATCCACAAATCTGGGAAGCTTTATATTTACAATTGTGGACTTATCTTAATATTCTAATCATCTTGTTTCATCAAAGCTTCAGTTTATGCACTTGCAGTATGCACCAATCTTTTTATAAGTTGGCTATTTGTACTTTTAAATGTCAATATGGACTGGAACCTTCTATTTAAACTTATCTTAATATTCTAATCATCTTGTTTTATCAAAGCTTCAGTTTATGCACTTGCAGTATGCACCAATCTTTTTATAAGTTGGCAATTTGTAATTATTTGTACTTTTAAATGTCAATATGGGCTGGAACCTCCTATTTAAACTTTGATGAAGCAACAAAGAATTTAAACCTTCAAAATGATACTTTTTCACAATTTTTTTTATTTTCATTTTATTTTTTTTATTTTCGTAATTTTGTGTTCTCCAGGCTGGTAAGAGAAAGAGGGCGGGAACTGGGAAGCATTGTGACTACCTGGATAAACGTGAATACGGTCCAGTCAAGAGAAGGAGAACAGACCCTGTCATTTCATTCTCATCCATACTAGAACAGTTACTGGTAGATATCAGGTTAGTACCGTTCGGATTCTTGTACAACGGACCAACTTTGCGACCTTGTAACTCTTAGTTTCATTCTTCGCTCATAAAGGGACTGTGCGTGTAATTTCAAGTGACCCTCCATGCAAAGATGGCAATACCCAACTGACAACGGGTCCCTTGAAATCGTTGTCAGGTCAAGTATGAAATAGATATAAACGTTTTTGTTTCTTTAATCAGTTTTTTTCTTTTCTCTGAGAAAGTGACTCGTGTATTTCTTGTTTATAAGAAGCAATGGAGAAACTGACCTCGAAATAAACACTTTCGACGGTATCTTCAACATTTTTATCAGATTAAAGTTTCAAGGATACCGTTGTAAATCGGACGTTGGAATCTTTTAATGGAGGGTCTCTTGAACTTACGCTTACAGTTCCCTTAAAGGGACCGTTCAATTTGTTGGGGTAATCTGAGGGTAAACTAAGCCTATTAGCTATTGATTGGTGTAGTCTTACTTTTTAAAGACTGTGGTCTGAGAAAAGCCGATTTATCATTCATAGTCATGGATTTTTTAGAATTTTCAATAAAATTTTTTAGTTAATTGTAGAAATCTTAAAATTTAAAAAAAAAATATTTTAGAGTTGTATATTTTCAAAATATAACTTATTTTAAACATTTGACGGTTTGATACGTTTTCCCTACTTCCCCTGGAATCCTCGTGATTTAATATGATAATTTTTAGATTTTATCGGGTTGTTGCTGAAAAAAAAACGTTTATATATTGTCTATGCAAAGGTATCATACCTTTCCGCTGGAATTCTATTTTCTCTGGTCATAGATATCTTTGAAAAGTTAGACTAATACAAATGAATAGCTAATAGGCTAATTAGCAAAATTATCCAAATAAGTGAACGGTCCCTTAAAGTAAGAAAGGCTTTCAATATCGATGGATTGTTGTCATCAATGGAAATAATGATATTTTTAATTAAGGTTAATGCCTGAGAGCCAAGCGTTCCTGTACCCTGTTCCTGTCAAGAATGTTCCTGATTACCAGGAAAAGATTAAGTTCCCAATGGATCTTCAAACAATCAAGTAATATTGTTTTTTAGTGGTAGAACTTTTGCTATTGGAATTATTATTATTGTCATCATTATCATTATTGTCATTATTGTTATCATTATTATCATTATTATCATTATTATTATCATTATTATCATTATTATCATTGTTATCATTATTATCATTATTATCATTATTATCATTATTATCATTATTATCATTATTATCATTATTATCATAATTATCATTATTATCATTATTATCATTATTATCATTTCAACATTATTATCATTATTATCATTATTATCATTAGTATCATTATTACCTCTTTCATCGTTATTATCGATATTACTGTTATCATTATTATCATTATCATTATTATCATTATTATCATTGTTTTCATTATTATCATTATTCTCATTATTATCATTCATTATTATCATTGTTATTATTATTATCATTGTTTTCATTATTATCATTATTATCATTATTATCATTATTATCATTTTATTATTATTATCATTATTATCATTATTATCATTATTATCATTGTTATCATTGTTATCATTATTATTATTATTATCATTATTATAATTATTATCGTTATGATTCCTTATGATCATTATTATCATTGTTATCATTATTATCATTATTATCATTATTATCATTAATATCATTATTATCCTTATTATCATTATTATCATTATATTATCATTATATTATCATTATTATCATTATTATCATTATTATCATTATTATCATTATATTATCATTAATATCATTAATATCATTAATATCATTATTATCATTATTATCAATATTATCATTATTATCATTATTATCATTATTATAATTGTTATTATTATTATCATTGTTATCATAATTATCATTATTCTAATTATTATTATCATTGTTATTATTATTATCATTGTTTTTATTATTATCATTATTATCATTATTATCATTATTCCTTATTATCATTATTATCATTATTATCATTATTATCATTATTATCATTATTATTATTATTATCATTATTATCATTATTATCATTATTATTATTATTATTATCATTGTTATCATTGTTATCATTATTATCAATAATATTTCTAAAGCTAATGTGTAGGGATAATGTGCAGAACCGTAAGTATCACAGTAGAGAGGAGTTCCTAGGTGATGTTAAGCAGATCTATGAAAATTCCTCTACATATAACGGGGAAACAAGCATAATAACTATCAACTCAAAGGTAATTATTTATTCAACAACTAGCTGATGAGCCCGGCGTTGCCTGTGGAATTTCAGAAATGATATAAAAAAATATTTTGTTTTGAAATAAAAAATTAGCCTATGGACCGCCCATGGGTTCTCTCAAAAAATGTCAGCCCATTCGATCCAAACCTTATGTCAGCTATTGATTGATTGATTGATTGAGTGATTGATTGAATTAGTGATTGATTGATTGATTGGTTGATTGATTGATTGCTTCAGGTTGTTCTGGAACGAGTTGTTCAGAAGTTTCAGGAGAAGGATGATTATCTGATGAGACTTGAGAAGCAAATCAATCCTCTTCTTGATGACGACGATCTGACCGCCCTCACTTACATATTCTCAGAGATTATGGAGAAAAATATCAAAACTATGCAGGTCCGAACCATTTTAAAGGGAGGGTTCGCGGGAAGTGAAATGCTGATTGAATTCGATATCAATCGCTACTAATTTTACTTAAATTAACAGCGATCGATATCAGTCTTAAACACCCTTTCATGTTTCGCTAAAACTCACTTTAAGGGGTTAACTGTACATCTTGCCTTAAGGTTACTAAAGATGGCAATGCCCGACTGTCCCTTTATGTAAAGATGACAATACCCGATTTACATAAACACATGGAAACCATAATATGATCAAAATTGTGGAAGAGAACGTAAAATTAGTGTTCAATCCTGATAATTTCTCCCGTCTTACTTATGAGCAAGAAACGCGCTAGTCACTTTTCAGAGAAACCACTTTTCAAAATTAACAGTTTTCAAAAACAAAATGAGAGTTCTAATTCATACTTAATCGGATAAAGCTTGTAAGGGTACCGTTGTAAATCGGGCATTGTCAACTTTGCTTGGAGGGTCACTTGAAATTATGCTAAGAATCCCTTTAACACGGATTTATTTATTTTACACGATCTATTATCATATTTGCTACGAAAACAAAGGGAAATTGAATTTGCAACATCACGTCATTTGTATCCTAGAATCCGAGCAACCCATTAATTAAGTGTTTAAATGTTGTAGACCTCTGATATTTCAAACTAAACATTCTATTAAATCAAATAGTCTTAATTGTTTGAAATATCAAAGGTTTACACCATCAGGTTGAAAACAAATTACGATTAAAACATTTGAGTTTGTGGCAAAGACATTAGATTCCTTAAAATAATTGAAATATTTGGTAAAATTATTATTTTTTTGGTAAGTATTATTTTGATTTTTTTTTTCGACAAAAGACTAAACAATTTATCCATCTGTTCATTGCAATGTACAGGGTTACCCACAAAGAATGAGACTTCAGAGACGACCATATGAAAACTGTTAAAGTCTCTTTTCTTACATTCAGAGTTCAGAGACTGGTATATTTCTGCGCTTTATCATTTATTAAACCATTAAACTACTAAATTAAATGTTGTCTTTACAGTCTCATCCATTGTGAGTAACCTTGTATCAGTGTTTATTGTATTTCAAAGTTCTAACTTGATCTTTTTACTTTTTTAGGAATCCTGGCCCTTCATGAAACCAGTTAACAAGAAAGCAGTGAAGGACTACTATGATATTGTTAAGCAACCGATGGATTTAGAGACGATGACCATTAAAATCAGAACAAGGAAATATTATTCAAGGGAGGCATTCTTGGTAAGTAGTTAAAGAGATCATGTATTCTAAACTAAAAAATCATGTTTAAAGGGACTGTAAGTAGTTAAGTAGTTCATGTTTTTTAAACTAAAAAATCATGTTTAAAGGGACTGTAAGTAGCTAAGTTTTTCATGTATTGTAAACTAAAAAATCATGTTTAAAGGGACTAAGTAGTTAAGTAGTTCATGTATTGTAAACTAAAAACATCATGTTTAAAGGGACTGTAAGTAGCCAAGTAGTTCATGTATTGTAAACTAAAAAATCATGTTTAAAGGGACTAAGTAGCCAAGTAGTTCATGTATTGTAAACTAAAAAAATTTGTTTAAAGGTACTGTAAGCGAAATATCAAGTGACCTACGAATTAAAATAAATCATGTTTAAAGGGACTAAAATGGGACTTATTCGACTATTTAAGCACGGTAGTCCATCTATAGTATCCTTAACTGCCGCAAATGGGTAAAATGAGGTTCGAAAGCTGTGCAGGGGAGGATTTCCCTACCTCGCTAGCGTACACTCCAAATAATTTAAAGATCTACACAATAGAAGCTCACTTGAAACTATGATTACAATCCCTTTAATATAAAAGATTATTAATTTTGAATTTAATCTATTTTTGTTGGGTGTAACTGTTAGGGTTTATAGCTCGCTAGTTCAAGTCAAATTTTCTTTTTAATTAAGAATAACTATTCCTGGTAAATACAATCTAAAATTGTGTGGGAATCCTAGAAATGTTTTTTCACGTTAATTGAAATTGTGCAGTGGTCTGCGTTTTTATCAATACAACGAAGACGACTTTTCTATTAAAGTTTTGATCTTTAACAAGCTTTTTTAAATTACAAGTTTAAAAGTAAACAAGGGAAAATTGTTAATTGACAGCTTCTCTTTTTATCCACGTTTATGTGTTTCCATGCTGTTCGAATACTTGGTAGAAGTCAAGATGAAACCGATAGTCGTCTCAAATTTATTGATATATTCGATGACGACTATACTAAAATGCTCATCGCACATGTGGATTTTTTAAAAATTCTGTTTAGTATGACATGGAGTTGATTTATCAGAACTCAAGAATATTTAATGGAGAAACTAACGAGTATACTCTCAAAGCGAAGAAACTATTTGAAACTGTTGAAGCAACTCTAGGCTTATATCAGGTCAGGAATTCTGTTCAAAACACATTTAATTAAAGAAAATTGCACGTAAGATTGAATTCATGTTTTTTTTATTATAACTCGTTTTATTAAAAAGTTTTAGGAAAAACAAAGTTGTTTTGAATTTCTAATACGTAACCGAATAAATTAGCTTTTCTTAAATACTTGCTGTACGAGTGATTTCTCTCTAATTTCACCAATTATTCCGTTTGTACTCAAGTACACCTGTACTCTACCTTATTCCGCTTGTACTCAAGTACACCTGTACTCTACCTTATTCCGCTTGTACTCAAGTACACCTATACTCTACCTTATTCCGCTTGTACTCAAGTACACCTATACTCTACCTGATTCCGTTTGTACTCAAGTACACCTATACTCTACCTTATTCCGCTAGTACTCAAGTACACCTATACTCTACCTGATTCCGCGTGTACTCAAGTACACCTGTACTCTACCTGATTCCGCTTGCTGAAGTACACCTATACTCTACCTTATTCAGATTTTACTCAAGTACACCTACACCTGATTCCGATTGTACTCAAGTACACCTATACTCTACCTGATTCCGCTTGTGCTCAAGTACACCTATACCTTATTGCGCTTGTACTCAAGTACACCTATACCTTATTCCGCTTGTACTGAAGTACACCTATACTCTACCTTATTCCGCTTGTACTCAAGTACACCTTTACTCTACCTGATTCCATTTGTACTCAAGTACACCTATACTCTACCTTATTCCGCTTGTACTCAAGTACACCTATACTCCACCTGATTCCGCTTGTACTCAAGTACACCTGTACTCTACCTTATTCCGCTTGTACTCAAGTACACCTATACTCTACCGTATTCCGCTTGTACTTTAGTACACCTATACTCTACCTTATTCCTCTTGTATTCAAGTCCGCCTATACTCTACCTTTTTCCGCTTGTACTATAATCTATCTTTTTTAACTCCGCAGTCAACCATTATCCGCCAAGCTATTTGAACATCTCAGCATACTAGGAGTTCCTAATCTGTTGGGTGTACAGAATGGCCCGTTGAAGGGCGCCATAGCTTAGGATTGTCTCTCACTAACGTACTTAGCGCAAGCTTTTTCCTTAGAATAAAGGTTGACTGCGATTATTATTATTATTGGTTGTAGGACCACTGTGGACACCTGGAGAGCAAGATTCGTGAGACCCAGCAGCGAGCAATGGATCAGGCGGAGATGGATTCCCTAGGGACATCTCTCGGCGGAGAGGCGGAGGACACTGACCGGAAGAAGATGAGGAAGAAGAAACCCGAAGGTAAAAGTAACAGAATACTGAAAACGAAAAGTTTCAGGGGTGTGTATTTTCCCAAAAAAAATCCTCTTTTGGTCCCTCTCATGAAAATTATTTGTTAAGGTTGTATTCACTGAATGTAGGAATATAATTGATTTTAAAGGGAGAAAAAAATATGTTTAGGTGAAAAGTAAAAGGACGGAAAAACTTGTCTTTAGATGTTTAATTTTTTATTTTTTACATGAGGAACATTAGAAATACGTAATGTTTGAATTATTAGGTTCAAACATGGTTGAAATTTTAATCTCGAGATTTGAGCCAGTGCGCGGTTAAAATTTATTAAATTCGGTGTCAGGAACATGGAAAATATGTAATATTATTAGGACAACTTGAGGATGATCTTGAGTACAGTTCAGATGAAGAAGAGGATTGGGATGAGGTTGAGGATTCTACTAGCCAAGGGTTCAGTGTTACTGTTGATCCAAATGCAACAGGTAGAAGTTAAACATTCAATTAATTAAATTAATTAAATTAATTAAATTAATCAAATTAATCAAATTAATTAAATCTTCGAGGATTTGTGAAAGGACTGTTAGCGTAATTTCAAGTGAACCTCCATGTAAAGATGGCAATGTCCAATTTACAATGGTACCCTTGAAACCGTAATCTGATCAAAAAAAATGTGCAAGATACCGTTTTTTTTCTGACTCTCCGTGTCTTCTTAGAGAACCTAACAAGAAAACAAACAGTTTAAAGGATCAACATAATATCTAGTTCATACTTGATCAGATTAAGGTTTCAAGGGTCACCTGAAATTACTCTAACAGTTCCTTAAAATTTATCAAAACCGAGAAATCAAGAAAGAATTTGAAACTTTCTAGCGTCAAGTTTTAAAGAAGCTGTCGAAGAAAACGAAAAATGAAATATTTAGAATTTTTACCAAATTGTTTTTATTCTTAAAAGGACTGTAAAGGAAAAAGGAAAGTGGGTATAGGCTGAAACCTGAGTTGATTAAGACATATAAGACATCTGTCTGATGTTCCTGTCTCGAGAAATGGATATATAACGGTGTCAAGATTTACCAAAACATATATATATGCAAGATTTTGTATAAGATTCGTAATATTAAACAGATCATAACGTAATTTTGGGCGTAATTTGGGAGTAAGTTGGGAGTAATTTGGGAGTAAGTTGGGAGCAATTTTTGGCCTGGGTTAATTCTTACATAATCTTCAGAAAGGCGACACGAGATTCAGCTTGTTTTCTTGGTCATGTTTTCCTGAAAATTATTTCACCACTTTTTCATTATGATTTCATCATTTTTCATTATCGATCCTGATTGTTCTATATATATATAAAGTAGTAATCTCTGTTTGTGTACTTGGATCATAACTCAGGAACCCCATGACCGATTTGCCTCACATTTTGATTGGGGAACTACGGAGAACCACGAGAATGTTCTTAGCTTGGGTTTAAAATGCCAAGTTGAGGGGACTCGACATTTTTAAGGAAAACTCCAGGCAACGCTGGAAGAAGGACGACAGCCATGTCGTCTTTTATTTAGCTCTTTAGCTTCTGCAACATATTCGTTAGAATCGACTCAGGGTGACAAGGGGTTTGATTCCCATGGATTAAGTTGTCTACTTGATCTGATAACAATCCCGAAGAGCCATTCTAAAAGTGTCTTATGTCTTATGGTACCTTGTGTTGGTTATTTTACAAGCTAAACAAACCATATTTTAAACAAAAAACTTCAATGTACGGTTTGTCAGAGAACTTGCGGGAAAAGTAAATCCAAAAACAAATTTGCAATAAACGGGCGTTAAACACGGATTTGGGTAAGAATTTGAACTCGGACCCCTACAAAGGATGCCTCAAGAAATCCTAGTCAAGCATGATCTGAGCTGGGATCTTCAGAATTAGATACCCTTAACCCGTTAATCTTCTCTTTAATCCGGTCTTTTCTCTCTTTCTCTCACTGCCAGTTTCCTACCTTTACTTTACTCATAAAATTGGCGAAAAATTTCAAATTTCCCGGCTTCTCTGATTGGCTATTCCGGTTTCTCCAAACAGCCATCGATCGGTTGAGTTGTATACACTTTTACATAAAATTAAGACAAATTAAATCTTGATTAACAAAAAGAGAAGATCAAGCTATCAAATCAAATCAAATATTGTTTATTTACGCAGAAACATTATATAAGATAAATCATTATTACAAGGGGTAGATTAAGTGGCAACTGATAAATGTTCTGCGTCTGAAGAACTGCTATAACTGTAGCTGTTTTCATATCAGCTCCCCAGTTGCTCGACAATAAAAGAAAGAAAAACTATAGATACGGTATTGACGGTGTGGTGGTGGATGGTTTAGCTATATCGATATCCACGATTCTAAATTTTCAGCTTTGATTTGACTGGGTAAAATGTTGAGAGTAATCCAAGTCATGTATGTTCTTATATGACTTGGTTGGTAATTACACTAACTAAGCTAGTGGGCTGGTCAAATAGGCCTCTGATAGTCCGGGGACTGTAAAAAGTCTGGCCGAGCCATCTAAGTTGAAACCGATCCGATATAGAATAGGGTCGGACGGGTACGTCACTTAGGCAGGTACAAGGGGTCGGTCCAGTTCGAATTCAAATTGACTTTAGTCCACCGTGTAATATTTAGAGTTACCTGGAGGTATAGTTGTAAAAACAGATCCTGGTTTACTGGGTGAGGATGTGATGGTGAAATCTGAACCTGTTGATTTACAAGATTTTTACGCAAATCAGCTGCAGGTAGTGTTAGTAATCGTTTTTAATAAAAAAAAATCTATAAAACTTCAAAGATTACAGAACTGTATTATGCTAAAGTTTGTTTTTATTAAACTATGCAATTCTTTATCACGTTCGTTTTTGTATCGTTTTTGGGTCGTTTTTTGCACAGTTATCTTCTACCTGGGTTATAGAAAAGGCAAATGTATGGAATACAAATTTAGAAAACATACTTTTACATTAAGCAAAACTTGGACCTTGAAAGAAAGGCAAAAAACGACCAAAACGAACTAACAGAAAGCACATCACTAAAGGTAATAGGTACTAGGTGTTTTACCATTTTCTCCTTCTTTTGAAGATCTAATGAACCAGGGATAGAATTATAAGCTTTTGATATATTGTTGCATCGTCTTCTAAACTAAATCTTCATGTAAGATTTTTTTACTTGATTTTCCTGAACGTTCAAAATCAGTCTGGTCTGTGCAGCTCTGAACCCTGAACCAATATTTAGATCTATCCATACCATAAATAAACCACAAAAAGTATCATATTTTTTATTAGAAGCAAGCAAGTTTAGATATATAATAATATAAATATTATATTTTGAATAACGCCAACGTTGAATCCAATAACTTCTGGGTTAGTAATTAGGTTTTAAAATGAGTAACTGATAATATTAGGACCGGCAAACATTTTTGCTTACTGAATCCGGATCCAAAAACTGCAAACAAATATTTTGCTTTCAAACCCTAAATCTGAAGTGTTGAAAAAAAAGTTTAAAATTTCCTTATCTCTGAATGTTTTAACAAGTTAAAGCATAAACATTACGGGGGAAAAAATAAGAAAAAATTTAAATTCATCTTTTGTTTAGAAAAATCAGTAAATCTTAAAGAAATGAACTCATTACCTGGATCCGGATCTATTTTTTCCCAGTGCGGATCCAGAATTCGGATCCGCATCAAGCACTGATATTAATAATAAAACAATGTTCAGGGCGGACCAGTCTTCAATATCCAGACTGGTCAAGATGGTCAGTTCTATGCTGAAGCCTTCCAGCAACCACAGGGATTCCAAGCTGGGTTCCAGGTCAGTTATGTTTACATTATGTGGCTCAAGTTTTACACCTTCGGGGTTTCTTTATTTTTCAGTTCTTTTTCGCTCTGTAATAAGAATGATAAAAATTCATTTCCTCGGATCTTCGAAAACCCCCCCCCCCCCCTTATAAACATTCCTGTAAAGTTAACCTGAAATTGTTATTTATCTATCTAGAACCTGTCTGATTATCAGATGCAATATCAAGCATCAGAGCCTGTTATAGATGAAAACTACGATCCGACAGATTTCCTTCAGGTAATAACATTAATCCTTCTAAATAGTTTTTAGATTTTAAAATTGTGTAATGTCAAAGTTTGCTTTTCTTCCATTTTGCAATATCCTATCCTAAAAAAATAGAAGCGCACAAACGTTCTGAAAACGATGGTTACGACACATTCGTTTTTGCCGTTTTTGCATCGTTTTTGGAGCGTTTTTCGGTCATATTTTGCACATAACTTCTGCCAGGGTCAAAATTTGAAATAGTGTGATATAGAGAAGAAGAAAAATTAAATATACAATTCAATAAATTTTAATTTCTTATACTATGCTAAATTTTGACCCTGAAAGAAAATAGAAAGAAAAAACGACCTTAAAACTACCTTAAAACGATCCTAAAACGACCCAAAAACGATGCTAGAATGAACCTAAAACGGACCAAAAATGACCCAAAAACTAACCTAGAATGATCCTAAAACGAACCTAAAACGAACCTAAAACGAACCTAAAACGAACCTAAAACGAACCTAAAACGAACCTCAAACGAACCTCAAACGAACCTAAAACGAACCTAAAACAAACCTAAAAAGAACCTCAAACGAACCTCAAACGAACCTCAAACGAACCTCAAACGAACCTCAAACGAACTTGAACGAACCTAAAACGATCCTTAAACGATCCTTAAACGATCCTTAAACGAACCTAAGATGGTTTAAGGGAAAATAAGCGACCTTCAATGTAAAGATGACAATACTAGAGTTATATCGGTACCCAGCAAACATTTGTCTGGTTAAGGTTGTCTGACATATACCTATTAATCTACTAAAACGCTTTAAAAGTTTAAATTACTGAATTGTTTGAAAAAGCTGATTTATATTCAAGAAATATTGAAAGTTAAACTTGCTAAAAGTGGCAGAAAATAGCAAGTTACTTCTAAATGTTTGAAAACGCTGATAAATATTCAAGAAATATTGATAGTTAAATGTTTGAAAACGCTGTTAAGGTACAAAACACTCAATCTGATTTCGGGTTACGGTTGATTGATTTAAAATTATGTATTAATATTTTTCCATAATTCTAATATAATAGTAATTTCCTGGCAAGATTAATTTTTTTGTTTAAATCACTTTTTATCCTTACTTTAATGACTGTAGGTATTATTAGAATTATTTTGCCTATTCACAGTATTTTAAAGCCTCCTGATATATTTGACGTAATCATTGAATCCTAAAAACATTCAAAGAGATGATTCACTCCCCCCAGCTGACTGGGAGAATATATATTCACAGTAGTTTAAAGTCTCCTGATATATTTGACGTAATCATTGAATCCTAAAAACAATCAAAGAGATGATTCACTCCCCCCAGCTGACTGGGAGAATATATATTCACAGTAGTTTAAAGTCTCCTGATATATTTGACGTAATCATTGAATCCTAAAAACAATCAAAGAGATGATTCACTCCCCC